TATATGCATTCTTATAATACTGTTTTTTCAAACGCCATCTACCGACCAAATAAAGAACTGAACTGTTTTTTATTTTTATGTTTAGTTTTTTTTTGTAAAAACTTACATATTTGTATAATTCGCTATTTTAAGTTTAGTCAGATATTGTATAAGATGTTATTTGGCGATTTGTAATGTTTTTGTTCTGTACTTATAGTAGGAAACAGGAAAAGAAAATAAGAAATAGGAAATACCGATCGAGAAGTCGCAGATCAAAATTTCGCCCGGATTATTTGCAAAGTCGATGTAGATTCATTACAAGCATTTTGGTTCAAAAATAACGACTATGATATATCGATCGGTGCCCAAGATACGAGTCCTATGTGCGGTTCACAATCACATGAACATTAGACCTATAAACGACTACACTATAAAAAAAACACGCCCCGTTCTCTACTTTCACATAGAGTGGATGCTCTGGCGCCAAAACTACTTATGTTACAAAAAAGCTAGACATAAATTGTGAATAGTTTCTGTAGTTAACGGTTTTCTCGTAAAATATTGTAAAAAACTTCCAGCCGCCAATTCTCCAAGATGGCGGCTTGAGTGGCGCACGTACAAAGGTGCAAAATGGAAATCGATAATAGCACATCAAAATGTACAAAATTGACTGTTCAAAACATTCCAAGTTGACCTACCAAATTACTGAATTATTACGTTTTTCCAAAGTTTTTACCTAATGTAAAAAAATTGCTAAAGTAAGATTTTTGAAGATAATAAAACTATCTTATACTAGAATAAGACCTATTCTAAGTAATTAAGATTTTGGTATTGTATTCCTAATATAGATATGCCTTTTTTTAAGGGGGGAAATTCATCGAATGACTGTTCGAATCATCGAATGAGTGTCAGACTCTTACTGACTAAAAACTACCCCGTTCCTTCTTCTGCACTTCGAGCCGGAGCCCCGGTTACCCGTTAGGTTCTCCGCGACATATAGATATGCCTAGTCGTTTACTGCCAAGAAGGCAGTAATCATTAATGATTAATGATTACTGTTGATAAATCTATGCTTCTTGTAGTCTAGAGACATGCGATTAATGTTTAATTTTCATTTGTCTGTGCATTTTTCACTTTTATATCGCTACATAGTATAACAAAGTCGCTATCCGCTGTCTGTCTATCCCTATGTTTGCTTAGATCTTTAAAACTACGCAATGGATTTTGATGCGATTTTTTTTAATAGATAGAGTGATTGTTAAGGAAGGTTTATATGTATAATACATGCATAATATAGTAGAGAAACACTGATAAATTTAGAGGTTTCTAATGTGACGTACGACATCGTTAATTACATAAGCATTGCACCTATGCGAAGCCGGGGCGGGTCGCTAGTTTATATATATAGATAATTTAGTATTAAGGCTTACCTATCGCATTGTATACATATAATATTTTACAAATAAATAAATTAATGTTAAATTTAATACATATAAGTTTCATTGTATGTAAATTCAAAATTGTAATTCAAAGTTTAATGAAATACTATATTAAATAAGATATTGTAAAGAGGATGGTTGATACTTCAGGTGATCAAAAGGCTGGCTATACCTTAGGCAAAGGATAAGCATTGCCATTAATCGTGGCAATGCCGCTAGCCTTTTTTTTGGGCACCCTACCTCACGATAGCGATGTGGTGTAGTGTGTGTGTGACACCTCGCCCTATAAGTAAGTAGCGTAAGATAGTTATTAAGACACTTAATTAAAGATATTCCTTACAGTAACACGTCTCCCTCATTGCTCCACATTGCAGTGGTTTGATGCCTTATAGTATATTTTTTTTTAAGGTGTAAGTACTTATGATTTAATTATTTGTATATTACTTAGTTCCATGGTGTTGCTATTTTTTAGTATATCTACCTATACTAAAAAATTTAATACATATTTTCTTATGTGAACATATTAACACCGTAAATTAAATATGTCGGCACTCAGCACTCGGCATTGAAGTCAAAGTCATTGTCTCCTTCTCTAATACAAAATGTACTCTGTGATAGAATATTACCATATTTTGAGTTTTAGTTTTTGAATCTTTTTAGATCTTACGTACTCGCGTACTTCAGACCCATCAAAAAATAGCAACACCAGGATCTTCAATTCCTGATGGTAAGCAATCAGCAACTACAAGAAAGGCCAAGGCCACCCAACCAAACGCGTGTAACGAAACCATAGCGCGATCTATTTCGATCCCAACGCCATCTATCGAGCGTGGAGACAACTTGACAGTTTTTGAGTTTCTTTTTATTTCAGTTTGTTATTGTTAAAACAAATTTATTTCAGTGGCCTGATAATAAAAGTGTAGTTTTAGTCATTTTTATTTCTTGATTTTAATTGTAAGGGGTGCACTGCACACCCCTGGATGGCAGGAGAGATTGTTTTTTAGTTCCATAACATTGAAAATATCTCGAAAACTAAAGGTCCTAGCTAAAAAAAAACGTTTATTTTCGAACGGTCTATAATCAGTGCACCCCTAATAAAAATTAAATGCTGAATAATAGACAGGGTGGAAACGACCTTCGCCAGGGTTGAAAGGTGAACCCGAGACCTGCTTTTAAAATCTTAAAAACACTTTTAAATCTTCGTGAACTAATAAAAGTAAATAAAAGGTAAGTTTTTTTTTAATGTGTTGTTCACTTAGTGCCAACTGATCCTGCCTGTCTGGATTTACGTCTGAGGGGTTCTAAAGAAACGTTATTTTTTAGCTAGGACCTCTAGTTTTTTAAATATATAAAAGATTTACGTCGGGTTGGTAAAATCGATCAGCCCTAGGCGAAGCAAAGTACAAATTAGTATTCGTCAAGTTTTGTATTTGTAATTTTATAAATGGGGTTGTTGGGTCTGACCCCTGTCCAAGGTCACCCCCCACTATTACATAAACAAGATAATATGTCTTTATAAGGGTGGTGGCACCTAGGGGTTCGAAAATAACGTTTTTTTTAAGTCAAAGTCCAACCTTTTATTTTAATTAAACCATAATTTGGTAATTTTGAAACGTAAACAAACACAAAATAAATAACAGTCAGTCCGTCAGTGAAGCTAGGTGAAGCTAGGTGCTCATTCCAAAATGTAGATTTGAATGGAGAAGAACGAGCAAGAAACTCCATTCGTTACTCTTTTATAAAATTGCAAGATATGTCCGTGGACTAATATCTGAATTTAAAATTATATATAACCTTAGTTTTTATCACCGTGTCTTATAAACAGCAAATTATCTCCACATATTTTTAAGTGGATATCGTGAGGGAGTGTCAGACTCTTACTGACTATAAACCACCCCGTTCCTACTCCTGCACTTCGAGCCGGAGCCCCGGTAACCTTTTACGTTCAAATTTATTATATCCACATAGGGTGTTTCTTTGGCGAACGCTCGAAGAAATCAAACAAAATATATGTAAGTATATAATTATTTTATTTTACGTTATGTAATTACAAAATCATACAATCATTTATAATATTACATTTACATTATTTATTCGTCTGTTAGGCAGTTTCCTGAGCATTGTGACATTATTTTGGATTGAATTGTGTATTACATAAAGTAGGAAAGCATAAATTACACGTTTTTGAAATATCCTGACTCGCTAGCCTATTTTTTGAAAATTATTGGACATTAAATTTTCAAAAAGGCTGTAAGTAACTATACTTCATTAATTTAAGGTTGTTTTTTAATAAATCTATATTGCAAGTCTTACAATGATCGATTATTCACCTTATTAGCAATCATTTTAAAGTTCAATTTAAATTAACTAAAATTGCAATCCTTCATCTAACTTTCTCCACATTTTTAACTATAATAAACGTCACACATCTTCGGTACAGACAGCACCATCCTTAAAATGTTCGGTGATTTAACTGTAATCCTCAAGCTGTCTGCCATGCACGGGGATTATTCCAAAGGTCTGAATCACTAGTGCAGAATGATGACGACACTCATTTAGTGGGGTTAAACTTAAAATAGGGTACAAATTGTCGATTTTTCTATTATCTAAGATTTTAATCAATGTCTAACTAAGTGTAAGATTGTTTAATTAAAAAATCTCTTGATTACACTTTGTATTTAATTTAAATAAGTAATTGGTAAGGTCTTATGCGTTACAATTAAATGCATTATTAGTAACTGTTTGTGCATAGTACATTGGCGAGATGAGTCCAATATTTTGACATTTATTTGAGCAAAGTTTACAAACAAAAATGGGTAATCGAACTAAACTCTAATACAAACGTAAACAGTAAAATATTAGACTTTAAAATAGTATTAGTAATTCAACATGCGTCTACTTCGCCCATCAAAATTGTTACAGTCGTTTTCGAGATCGTGATTACAATAAATACATAAAAACATTATTCTTTTAACATTATACCAACATAATATGCCCAAACGTTTCAAAACAATGGAAATTTCTAATCAAAAAGGGAACTAATATAAAAAATTGATATACAAAATTTATTTATTTATTTTAATAATAAAATCATTGATTCTATACAAGCTAGACTTACAATCGAAATAAAATAACGGAATACTTTGAATCGTTATGACGGCTCGACACGACACGACTATATAACGATATTTTTTAATAATTTATCTATCTCTTCTCAAAAACATAATCGAAAATAATTATCTTTTACAGCGTACTCACATAACCGCTTAACTAAAGAAATCGAAAAGGCGCGCGTCGAGCTATGCTGCTCATTACTATGAGCCCCGATCCTAGCTTGAAACTAGTCGAGTTGAGCTGTAAAACATAATTTAACGACTAAACAGATTAATATGATGGATACAGTTATTTTTTGTATATTAGTAGAGTGATACTTGGTGAAACTTGGGATATTTTTTATTGTTAGAAAAAAATGTGTTCAAGTGATTTTAAGTCTTATTTCATAATAATTATAAGATTGAATATATGTCTGTATCGTTTCGCCGCCTATATACATAAGAAGTAGTTAAGTATTTGATTCAGTCATTAACTGGCGCGAGGACCCAGCTTCCTTAGGCAGGAGATACCCTGGAAAAAACATGAACACAATTAAAAAACTGCATAGTTACGGCAATGTACTACTACGCGACAAATCCCAGATTCGATTATCACATGGAAGAGCTTATCCGCAACGCTTTTTGCTAAATATTTAAAACAAGTTTACAAAAACAAATCATTTTACTAGATTTGGTTGAATAACAATTTTATAGGCTGGTCTAGAAGAAAATACAGTCAAATTGAGAACCTCCCCTTTTTTTTAAGTTGGTGAAAATATCAATATCGATATATTCAAAAATTATCAGTGTTTTATTGCATTTACGACAGATAAACAGATTTTTGAGTTTCTGAATAGCCGTAACTTTAAAATAACGAAATTTGAGTAGATATGGAGGCCGATATTATATTCTTAAAATAACGACCTACAGCCGACAAGAGGGTAATTTACTTGGTAACCTAATTGCGTAGTTTTTTTTAGCCGTAGACGTGTTTCGGATGATGATAAAATGATGACAATTGGGTAGTTTCTAGGATAAGAAAATTAAAAATCTAATTAGTCCGTCAGTTAGATAATGAAAAAGTATTAGACACGTATTTTATTATTCTCGTATAAAGTTACAATACTCAGATAAAATGGCATTAAGTTTAGGAGTGGGAGGTCGTTACGTCACAACGTGCTACATTTTGTTGCACGCTGTGACGTCACACGACATTTCAAATATATCGTCGAAAGCATTTAAATTTTGTGAGAAAAGAAAAAATACGTGTCTAATGTTTTAAAATAATCTACCAGACGGACATTAAAATAAAATTTAGGAAACTAGGCTATTACCTGCTCTAAGTACTCGTTCCTAGAGAGCCAGAAGTTGTCCCTATTCTTGCAGACCTCGGCGAGTACAGCGCCGCCTATAAACACCATGTCCTTGCGCCGAGGCGGGTCCTCCACGCGGATCTTGAATTTCTGGAAATAGCACAATCATATTAGTTTTAGTTTTCACATAATTCCGGTTTCGTGATATATTCCACTTTGAGTGAGTTTATAAAATAGATTTTTTTTTAGTGGGAATTCAGAAGTCAAAGTCAAAGCATTTATTTCACTTAAACCATAATTTTGTACTTTTGAAACGTCAACAAATACGAAATAAATAATAGTCCGTCAGTTAGTCCGTCAGTGAAGCTAGGTGATCATTCCAAAATGTAGACTCGAATGGAGAAGAACGAGCAAGAAACTCCATTCGTTACTCTTTTAAAAAAGTATGTTCTACAATGTCTCTGATACATATTCAAATACTGTACGTATATGTGAGAACAATGCAAAGACACGCTTGACGCATTATACTAATTACAAAACTTACTAAAATAAAATAAAATTAAAATAAAAAACAAAACAAAAAAATCGTATAGTCTAACATGGTGCTCACATATGTATACTTATTTCATCCAGAGGCAAGTTTGTTTTACGTTTAAAGTAATCGTAACGAGTACGCGTTCGGCGCTGTGATTGGGTGCTTCATTGGTGCGGCGCCAATCGGAGTGCCGAACGCGTACTCGTTATGAATACTATAAACGTAAAATGAAACTCGTACTAAGACCTCAGACTATATCTAGATAGGTGAAATGATTCGATTCGAAGTTCTGTCGAAATTGTGTCCTATCCAGGTGAACCTTGAAATTCATTCACACGGGTATACCAAGGCGAAATTTACACATGCTGCATGCATAACGGTCTATTCTATTCAAAACAAGCTCGAATGTTTTCAAGGCACACCGGGACTCGTAACCATAAGCTGCGTGAACTATGAATTGTTTTGTTTTGTTTTTATTTCCGTTATATTTTAAGTTACATATACTCACAGCCAACTTGTCGCAGTCGTTCTTGAGCACCCTCTCGAGGTAGAGCTGCTTGATCTCCCGCTCGAGGCGCGAGGGCAGGCCGGGGTACATGGTGGAGCCGCCCGACAGCACGATGTGCTTGTACAGCTCGTTGCGCATGTCTATGTCCGCCGCCTGGGGACGAATAACATTATCAATCAAATTAAATGAAATCAAATCAAAAATGTTTATTTGCTAAAATAAATCATCATCATCAACAGCCTATAAATGCCCACTGCTGAGCAAAGCCTCTTCTCACACGGAGAAGGTTAGAGCATTAATCACCACGCTTGCTCAATGCGGGTTGGCGATTTCAAACTTATAATTACAAATTATAAGTCCAGGTTTCCTCACGATGTTTTTCCTTCACCGTTTGTCAGTGGTGTCTAAATAATCTTAGAAAGTACATATAACTCGGAAAAAGTCACATTGGTACTTGCCGTTGGTAGGTTTCGAACCCGCACCCTCATGCATGAGAAGTGGGCGTCTTAAACCTCCGGGCCACGACGACATTTAAAAATAAATAATGCCCAATTATCCCCCTCCCTAGTCCCCGTCTGATTTTGCTAGACAAATGTTATCAAATTAAGATTATGTTTTCGCTCGAACAGTAGCTATGACGGGTAAGAATCGTATTACTGTTTATATTTTATCCACCAAAAGTGAAACACCTACAAAATAAACAAGGTGCACATTATCTATGGCATGTAATGCCACTGTACAATGTAACACCCACTTTTCACTATTTATGTTATGAGTCCCATGTAATAGGGGGTGAGCCTATCGCCATATACCTGGAGACATTCCAGGCTGCGAGCTACTACTGAGATTTAAAAAAAATAACCTCTTAGGTTGTACTTTTGGCCAACCCGGGAATGAAACCGAGACCCCTTGCCCGGCTGCCGCAGTTGGGAGCACTCGCCACACTCATTACACACAACATATACTATACATACATACATACATACATAACTTCACGCCTGTCTCCCATCGGGGTAGGCAGAGACTAGGGAACGCCAATTACTACGATTCTTACATACCTCTTTCGCTTCATTAACAGTCATCAATCAATCTTTTCATGCATACTATAATAAAATATACTATATCTTCTATTAAAAAGTTGCTTACAAAAAAATAAATAAAAATATCTGTCAATCCTGACCTGTATAGTATTAAAGACGAGTTCAGCGATGCCCTGTCCCTCGACGTTGATCAGATGTGGCTGAAACAATGCCTCCGGGGCCTCGAACCTCTCGCCTCCTACTTTGATCACTCGACCGTCTGGTAGCTGTGGACAAATTGATATAGAAAAGTCTTTAGAGAAGAAAAGTGCTACTATCAATTAGCCATTTACCTTCCCCTTCCCCAATCCCTGAATCCCCAACGATCCTCAAACTCCTAATCCCCAAAAAGCCGGTGACGCACTTGTAACGCCTCTGGTGTTCCAGGTGTCCATGGGCGACGTCGATTGCTTACCATCAGGTGATCCGTCTGCTCGTTTCGGTAAACGAGCATAAGCCGGTGCTTATGCCATAAAAAAGCCATTTCTAGTGTTTTTTTTTTTTTCAATAAAAATTACAGACAAAGGATAATGTTTCAACATGTACGTTGGTACAGGAAATACATATTATAACTCGGAAAAAGTCACATTAGTTCTTGCCGTTGGTAGGTTTAGTACCCGCATGAGAAGCGAGCGTCTTAAACCTCCGGGCCACCACGACGTCTAAGATTACTTAGACACTACCGACAAACGTTGAAGGAAAACATCGTGAGGAAACCTGGGCTTATAAATTATAATTATAAGTTTGAAATCGCCAACTCGCATTGAGCAAGCGTCGTGATTAATGCTCAAACCTTCTCCGTATGAGAAGAGGCCAGTCACTTAATGCCACTGTACAATGTAACACCCACTTTTTCACTATTTAAGTTATGTGTCCCATGTAATAGGGGTGAGCCTATTGCCATATACCGGACACATGTCTAGACACCGTGCTACAACTGAGATTTTTAAAAACCCAGTAATAATTTGGCCTTCCCGGGAATCGAACCCGAGACCCCTTGCCCGGCAGTCACACTTGCGACCACTCGGCCAACGAGGCAGTAAATTTTTTGCGTATGTATTACAAAAAAGCGTAAATTGTTATAGTTAAATAAGATAATAATACTTACAACATAAGGTTCCACTAGCACGGTGGTCTCCCAGGCCAGTCGTTGTTCCTGCTCGATGTTGTATCCGATGTAACAGAGCTTCTCCTTCATCATGCGAACTGTCTCGAAGTCTGCCGAGTGGTTGAAGGCGTAGCCTCGGAGGAGGAGGAGCTGAGGGTCAGAGGTTGAAGGTTAAAGATAATTTTCGCTGTACGGACTAAACCTTTTATACCATGAACCTTTTATATAAGCCTTATATAAAAGGCTGATACACTCGAGTGTTTTCGAACCAAATGGGCTAAGAGCTCCGGTCGGACGCGAAACTAGTCGGGGAGCCCCGTAAAAATTACACGAGTAGATAAACATCAAAACATTATCTAAATTAGCTTATTTATTCAATTGCCTGCGACTTCGTCCGCGTAGAATAGTGACTTCTGGCAGAATTTGGGTTTATGAATTAAGGAGGCCATACACGCTAGGTTTTGCATGATGGTTTTAGCCGTGCATGCATAACCGACAGGCAAGCCCTAGCATGTATGTGACTAAGCTGTACAGTTATCGGTGCATGTACATGCAAAACCTAACGTGTATGTGTTGTATGAAACTCGGTTATGCTTGTCGGTTTTGCATGCAAATTTATAACCATCATGCAAACCCTAGCGTGTGTGGCCGCCTTTAGTCTTTTCCAGGGTACAAACATATCAGTAAGTTCTTTTATTGTGAAATCAATTTCATTTCGATGTTTCAAAAACTAAACAATCTCACAGAGGCTTTACCCGTACAGTACCGTGAGATTACAGTAATCAAATTGTATGGGAGAGCCATGCTTCGGCACTGCTGGGCCGGCTCCACCGAAGAGATACCGCCGAGCTGGACACCACACTGATACAACCACAGCGATGTGTTTCGTCGTGTGAGTGAGGTTACCGATTATCCTACGCCCTCTTTCCCAATCTCCCCAATCCCTGAATCCCTAACACTCTTCAAACTCCTAATCCCCAAAAGGCCTGTAACGCAATTGTAACGCCTCTGGTGTTCCAGGTGTCCATGGGCGACGCCGATTGCTTACCATTAGGTGATCCTTCTGCTCGTTCACCAGCTTATCCAATAAAAAAGTATGCAAGAAATTACCTAAAAATCGTGGGTTACTCACGTAATATACTGAGAAAAGCTCTACTAGTTTCGAACCACAGAGGGGTTCTTCCTCATGAGTAGCGTGCGCGGTCGCGGCGACGTCGCGCAGCCTACTCTGCTAGTACTGCTTTTCTCAAAATATTCACGTGAGTAACCCGCGATTTTTGGTTAATTTTGTATGTCTCACGATAATTATTATAAAAAAATATGTAAGAAATAATTAATTAAAAGCTACGTACCTTGATGAGATACCTAGTGATGTCCCTGCCGGCGATGTCGAGCCGCCGCGTCAGATGTGGCAGTGCGAACTCCTCGTACACCGGGCATATGTGGGTTACACCGTCACCTGAAAACATACATGCATAATTATTAAGTTTGTTTAAACATGTTAATCTCTGTTATTACTAATTGAAAAGATACTTCGAATTTGAATTCAAAATTGGGTACTTTCCTTAATCAAAAATAAATTATTTCGACTTTTCAATACAATACAACAATAAAGAATAATCACACTTTCATTAATTGATTTTATGACCAACTTCATTTTAGTATTTTTCCAGTAAATTTTTAAGAAATAAGTACGCTGTTTGACTCTAAAAAAACGTGACGTCACAATACACAATCTCGTACAAAATTCATAGAAAACTGTCGTTTTTGACAGTTCGAAAAAAGTATTGAATTTGACTAGTTGGCACGTATCCAATTGGGTGGAACTGCCTGTGAGTATGGTATACCTCACAATAGTTATTTTATACAAAAATAATTATCTGTAGATGAATGCTGAATAGTCTGTTTATTACACCCGAATACTGAAAGGCTACACAATTTTAAATAGGGTAGTTTCCTAAATTTTATTTTAATGTCCGTCTGGTACATTAATTTAAAACTTTAGACACGTATTTTTTCTTTTTCACACAATAAAATAATTCCGACGATATAGTCATTTAAAATATCGTGTAACGTCACAGCGTGCTACATTTTGTAGCACGTTGTGACGTAACGACCTCCCACTCCTAAACTTAGCGCCATTTTATCTAAGAATTGCAACTTATTACGACAAAATAAAAAAATATGTAATATTTTTTTCTTATCTAACTGACGGACTAATTATATTTTTAATTGTGATATCCTGGAAACTACCCAATTGTACGCAAATATCGTTCCATCTCTATCATTTTACAATTTTTTTTTGTTTTCTAATAAAACGTTGCCCCACACACTAGGGTTTTTTCCTGTGTCGTGGGTGCGTTTACAAACATAAAGTTCACATACACATGACATCCAGACCCGGAACAACAATCTGTGGATCACACAAAGAGATGTTCCGTGCGGGAATCGAAACCGCGACACATTGCGTGGCAGCCAGTTGCCCAACCACCGCGCCAACCGTGCAGTCTAACAAGGAATTTGTAGTGACAGAACTACATTATAGGTACTCAAGCTTGACTTAAATTGAGTACCGTTTGAGTATTAGGGCAGTAGTTTTTATCGTTTTTCCTGCCGAAGGACTGCAGGAAGAGATTCCTGCGGGAATATGCAGTACCTATGTACAATCAAAGGTCAAAAGTCCACTGCCACCGTAAGTAATTTCATATTAATGTGCATAAAAACGGGTGCGTACACATAAATACACGCACGCGTACGCACACGGATAAAAATATGAGTGTGCATGTGTGTATAACCGATAGTAGTCTTACGGTGGACTTTTGACCTTTGACCGTACCTTTAATCTATTTACATATGTGTTCTCCTGTGTACTGTCTTTGTGTTGTGCGTCAAATAAATAATATTAGGCGGTGTTGCCATACATTGCCATATATATTGGAAGCAAGTATAACCGCCAACACATAGGACCCACTTAGATTTTAGTCAAATTTCCGTGGTGCTTGGCGACTGGGCTTCACTCAGTTGTACAGTCTCTTTTTGTGCCTTTAGGCTTAATTCATTCTGTCTCCTGCAGTAATTCACCGCGGGAAGTGGAAATTATCTTTTTTTTCTTTTCCTCTTATAATATCTTCTGATATACTTCGTTGCGGGAACCAAGACAGTTATTAATGTACCTGGAACGCGCCTGACTTCAGTGCTCCGGTGTTTTTATGGTTGTATCTACTGTAGATCCTGGCTTACAGGGGTTGCAGCGGTTACGGGAGGTTGTCTCAAAAAAAATATATACAAAATACTCACCAGAGTCGACGACCACTCCGGAGATAAGTCCTTGAGCATATAACGTTAGCACCGCCTGGATGGCTATATACGCGCTGTCAAACTCGTACTTCTCGAACATTACCTATATTACAGAGAATTATAATTAAATTAATACGACATACATAACATAATAACATAACATCACGCCTTTTATCCCCGAAGGGGTAGAGTAGCAGTAGAGTGGGCAGAGGTGCCCATTGTACAATGTAACATCCACTTTTCACTATTTATGTTATGAGTCTCATGTAATAGGGGGTGAACCTATTGCCATATACCGAGCACATTTCCCGACTCCGTGCTACTACTGAGATTTTTAAAAAACCCTGTATTACTTTTCTCGACCCGGGAATCGAACCCGACACCCCTTGGCTGGCAGTCGCACTTGCGACCACTCGGCTAATGAGGCTGTCTTTTATTATTATATTAAACTAGCAAACTCGGCGAACTCCGTTTCGCCACCAGATGGCTTCGTTTTATGTAACATTTCGTTTGGTGATTAAAAGATGAAGAATTTTCTTTGCTATAAACCTCACGGGGCCCGAGACCTTTCCAACGAATGCAAAACCGTGGAAATCGGTACGTGCGTTCTATAGTTATAGCGTCGCGTCAGGAAGGAAAACCCGACTTATTTTTATATAAAAAAAAATGCTTTTATAAAAGCCCTCTTTCACATCAGGCTAATGCTACCACTCACAAGCATCCCCATAAGTATCATATAAAATGCCAAAATGTACTTTTTCATTAAATCACCGAATTCATAAGATTGTAGCGACGACAATGCACCGCATAGGTTTTGCAACGTTGCATTTATGCAACGTCGGGCAGTCACGGGCTTGTCGGGTTGCGAGTGGGTCGCGCACATTGTAATTAGCCTAAGTATTTTTTGGTCATTATATGGAGTGGAACTTTGTCGTATCTTTTAATTACAACCCGAACCCGTGTCTCAACATTGGTGACTCCGACGACTGAAGTGATTTACTCTATTTTTGTGCGACCAGTGATAACAATAAAATACAGTAACTATGAATCCTCCGGCGGCAATTCCAGTCAAGGGCGAGGCGGGTGAAAACGCCTTAGCTCAAATAACGGTGTCAAGCAGGATACCGGATTTTTGGAAGGAATCACCTCGTCTGTGGTTTGCCCAGTACGAAGCCGTGGTGGCAAACCAAAAGCTAACAGATGAGTCAAGATATAATTTGGTGATCGCGAAGCTCAACCGAGAGCATGTGGAGCAAGTCAGTGATATTGTGCTATCACCGCCCGACACTAAAAAATACGAAGCCTTGAAAAATCGATTACTCGTAGTTTATGAGGAATCAGAGGTACGTCAAGTTCAAAAGCTTCTGAAAGAACTGGAATTGGGAGATCAGAAACCCTCCCAGCTCCTCAGGAGAATGAGAGATCTCGCAAGAAACAATTTCGAGATGAAACTTTGAGCATGCTTTGGATGGGACACTTACCAACAGCGGTGCAAGCAGTACTCACAGTAAGTGAAGTGAAAGATCTGGAGAAGTTAGCTACTATGGCAGATAAAGTCGTTGAAACAACGCGTTTTGCGGAAGTCCAGGAACTTTCTACTAATAGAAGCAGTGAGGCAGCCATGCAGCCAACCCTTGCGAATCAAGTCGCCCACCTAACACAGCGTTTAAACCGTTTGGAAACGTCAAGATCAAGAGGCAGGTCATCTGGTCGTAGTAGTTACAGGAGACCGTATCGTTTTGCGTCTCAAAGTCGCGAGCGCGCGAAAAGGAAAAACCCGAATTGGTTGTGCTTTTACCATTTTCGATACAAGGAAAAGGCCAACAAATGCATCCAACCTTGCGCATGGCAGAGGCAGCAGGAAACTGAAACAGAAAAAAACTAGATGCCGTACAGCCTAAGGCGGATGGCTGTACCAGTGGAATTAGCAAACGCCTTTGTGTTAGAGATAAGAAAAGTGGACTAAAATTTTTGGTGGATACTGGCGCCAATGTTTCAGTGTTACCAATGACTAAACATAACCGTTTCGCGAGTGAGTGCAGTGATTATAAACTATATGCCGCAAACGGAAGTGTGATTAAGACATTCGGTACTAAAACTATGATATTGGACTTTAGTTTACGTCGACCATACAAATGGACATTCATAATCGCAGAGGTAACCCAACCTATTTTAGGAGCTGATTTTCTGGCTCATCACGGTTTAATAGTAGATCTAAGTTCATCTAGATTAATCGATAATATAACAAAATTAAATTTTGTTGCCAGCATTGTGGAGGTGGATCAACCGACCGTGAAAACTGTCGAGGACACTCATCCATTTCACGATCTATTATGTAAGTACGTTAATATTACTAAACCTGCGTCGTATAGGGAAGTACCTACCCACGGTGTTTTCCACCACATTGAAACAATCGGACCTCCAGTATTTGCTAGAGCTAGGCCGTTACCACCGTCTAGATATAAGAAAGTGCAGGAGGAGTTTCGTTTTATGCAGGAAGTAGGCATTTGTAGACCTTCAAAGAGTCCTTGGGCCAGTCCACTTCATGTGGTACCCAAGAAAAATGGGGAGTTACGTCCTTGTGGGGATTATAGGAAGCTTAACTCTATCACCAAGCCGGACAGATATCCCATACCTCGTTTATCCGACTTCACATATATACTATTGGGAAAAAAGATCTTTTCAAAAATTGATATAAACAGAGCATATCACTGTATTCCTATAGCATCAGAAGATATAGAAAAGACTGCAATTATTACGCCATTTGGATTATATGAATTCCCGCGTATGACGTTTGGGTTACGCAACGCAGCCCAAACCTTTCAGCGATTCATGCACCACACTGTTTTTCAGGAACTAGACGCAGCTTGTAAAGATAATATCTTCTCGTATATCGATGACGTTATTATAGCATCTTCAAGTGAAGAAACGCATCGGGAGCATTTAGAGTCATTATTTAAACAGTTTAACAAGTATAATATAACTATAAACTTAGATAAGTGTACGTTTGGTAAGACAGAAATAGACTTTGTCGGCTATCGTGTCACATCAGAGGGGATTCATCCACTTGGTGATAAAGTTAAAGCCATTACTGAATTTCCCAAGCCCATTAATATCGAACAATTGCGACGATTTTTCGGCATGGTAAATTTTTACAGGTTCATATACCAAATGCAGTTTTATCGCAATCGATTCTTAGTAGTTTTATTCATGGTGCAAAAAAGAAAGATAAGACACCTATTGCGTGGACCCCAGACGCTGAGCAAGCATTCGAAGAATGTAAGTTAAGCTTGTGTAACGCGGTCACGTTGTCGCATCCGGTGGCAGATGCACCGCTAGCACTTATGACGGACGCGTCCGATTCTCACGTAGGCGCGGTGTTGCAGCAGCAAGTAAACAATGCATGGACACCGTTAGGTTACTTTTCAAAAGCTATGTCTAAAACTGAATGTAAGTATAGCACGTATGATAGAGAGTTACTAGCGATTTACTTAGCCATTCGTCATTTTCGGAACATGGTTGAGGGACGGCAGCTAACTGTATATACGGACCATAAACCAATTACATATGCATTTTTAAAAACTAACAGCGAGAAAGAGTTACCTAGACGTACACGTCATCTAATATTTATTAGCGAATTCACCACAGACATAAGACATTTGAGTGGTCAGGACAATGTCGTTGCAGACACGTTATCGCGCGTAGCAACTATAAGCTGTCCCACGGTGATAGATTTCGAAGAACTCGCTAAAGAACAGCAACATGATAACTATGTTTTGCAATTGTTAAAGTCCGATAATGATATTCTAAAAAGGATAATGTTACCTGAAAGCGGAGCGTTTATTTATTGCAATATCATTAATGATAAAATCAGACCTTATTTAACTGAAAAGTTTCGGCGTATTGCTTTTGATACAGTACATAATTTGAGTCATCCTGGGATCAGAACGACACGAAAATTGGTACAAGAACGTTTTTATTGGCCGAGTATGAATCGAGATGTTAGCCAATGGGCTAAAACTTGTGTTAACTGTCAGCGATCAAAAGTAAACAGACATACAATGTCAGCTTTAGGTTCGTTTCCTCAATGTAGTAGATTTAGCCATATACACGTAGACCTGATTGGTCCGCTTCCAATTTCAGCGGAAGGCTATAGATATTGCTTAACTGTAATAGACAGAGGAACACGGTGGCCAGAATGTTTCCCTACAAAGGATATAACCGCTGAGACTGTTTCACGAGTTATATATGAAGGTTGGATCTCGCGTTTTGGTTGTCCGATAAAACTAACCAGTGATCAAGGACGCCAATTCGAAAGTCAATTATTTTCCTCATTAATGAAGTTATTAGGTATAAATAAACTGCGTACAACACCTTACCACCCACAGAGCAATGGGGTAGTAGAGCGTTGGCACAGATCGCTTAAAGCAGCGTTAACCGCTCGCTTATGTAACATAGCCACATCTTGGGTGATCGAATTACCAACTGTTTTATTAGGGCTTAGAACGGCAGTAAGAGGCGATAATGGTATAAGTGCCGCAGAAATGACTTATGGTACTACTTTAAGATTACCTGGTGATTATTATGATAACAAATCTAACTTAGAAATAGATAGTAGTCAAGAGTATGTTTGCAAATTAAGAGAAACCATTAGGAAATTCCATTCAGTAGCAATCAGGGAACATAAAAAACAGAACATTTATATACATCCGGATTTAAAAACATGTAATTACGTTTTTGTTAGGAACGACGCTGTTCGTAGACCTTTACAACCAACTTACGATGGACCTTTTCGCGTGTTGAGTAGAGATAGGAAAGTTTATCACATAGAAATGTCAGGCAGGAAAGCTAGAATATCTATAGACCGTTTGAAACCGGCATATTATCTCAGTGAGGATATTGACGTAACACCATCGGCAAATACTGAGGTTCCGAATAGTGTTTCCACTAACACTCGCACCACGCGTAGTGGAAGAGTTAGTAGAGTTCCTATACGATTTAGGTAATAGTTATAAATGTACCACGATTTTATAATTCAATACATTATTATACCATGTGTAATTTTTCCGCATAAATAGGTAATGTATGTGTACAATGTAGCTTACTAAGTACTATAATATAGGATCACGTCCAGTAAAAGCTAACACAATGCAACTGTCGTAATATAGTCTACAGCCAGTACGTAGCATAAATGTAACAGCTAGCATAGCTATGTGTAGCTGGAAGTATGACAACAACTTTAGGAATAAATAAAGTAGGTTACAATATAAGCATTTATATACTTTATATACAACTATTTTTACATAAATTTTATTGTTCTATTGACAACTAATTACATTAAGTACTTATTGTAAAATTTATTACCATACTTATACGATGGGTAAATCATACAGTAAATCAGAGGAAATAATCATAGCCCAAAATGGTGCAAATAACGCGAGTCAAAGCTCGGTGGAACAAAAGTTAGAACTATTTGGAACAATAACTGCAAGTATTCTAGTGTTATTGCTATTGTTTGCAATGTGTTTTGTGTTTAAGAAATGTAAAAAAGGTGCGAAAAATTGGGCTAGAAAGGAACTTACTACTGCCATGTCATCAAGCCAAAATGACAAAGTTGGGCAGCAACAAGCGCCAAACATACAATACGCGTAGACTTTTAGTTTTAGAGTGTATATACATTTTTGATTGTATTTAATGAAATCTTTTAGAAATGTTACACCCATTTAATTGATATTATATAACTTGTATAACCTTAACTTGTGTGAAAACTGTAATTGTACTTGTACTTCTGCATCTCCTATGTATGTTTCAAATGATTTGTATTTTAATTATGTTAAATATATACTTTTTTTTTAAAAAAGGGGAGGAATGATGTAGCGACGACAATGCACCGCATAGGTTTTGCAACGTTGCATTTATGCAACGTCGGGCAGTCACGGGCTTGTCGGGTTGCGAGTGGGTCGCGCACATTGTAATTAGCCTAAGTATTTTTTGGTCATTATATGGAGTGGAACTTTGTCGTATCTTTTAATTACAACCCGAACCCGTGTCTCAACAAGATGAACTTCTTAGAAAGAGAAAACCTGCAATTCTAACCTCAATCATCTTCTCTCTATTCTTGGTGGGGTTCATGGGTGGTTCAGTGAGCAATATCTTAGTCTCCTTCGGGTCCACGTTCATCTTGCTGGGACCGAACGTGTAGTCCCACACGTGGCACATATCCTCCCAGTTTCGGACCACCTGTAAATTAAATGGGTTGATTATAAATATTGCTATTATACCTAGTGGCTAAATTATCCATACTAATATGTATTATGAATCGGAAACAGGGTAGTTTCCTAAATTTTATTTTAATATCCGTCTGGTACATTATTTTAAAAATTTATTTAATTTTGACCCAGGAAACTACCCAATTGTGAAAGTCGGGAACAAGTCAGTTAATTGTTTTTGCTAAATAAATTTTGAAATCTTAGAAATTATGCCTTTTAACCCTGAAGGGGCAAGTAGAGGTGACAGCAACACTCAGGTTTTCCACCAGTTTTGTTATGAGTAGAATGAAGTAAGTAGTAGTAGTAGGGTGGGATCGTTTTGGAGAATTCGCTTCAGGAAAGAATGTGCGTACTTTATATGTAGGTACTTATTAAAAATTAAGCTCCTCTTAGTACAATCTTATCTTCTAAATACTTTAATATAAAAATCGAGACCGAGACCCCTTGCCCGGCACTCGCACTTGGCCAACGAGGGAGTATATTTAAATAAATAAATATAAAATTATACTTACGCCATTCTCCATAGGATAACTGACTTCCAACATAGACCTGAGTTTAGATGCTTCATCTCCAACCATTAAGTCCTGAAATCATTCCAATATTACGATTAATTCATGCTTCCAAAGACTTATATAGTAATTGGTTGTACAGCTGTAAACGGAACACTCCCGAAAAGCTGGCGAAAAGAAATTGATCAAGATCAAGAAGATGCAACATCAGCCTTGAACGGTTGATTAAAACTATTATTACACAAAATACACATTTAATTCTTTACTTTTATGAAAATAAACTTGTTTTTTATTTTTTTACAAAAACGTCCCACACTAAAATTTTCTCCTGTGTCGTGAGCGCGTTTACAAACATACAAGTTCACATACACATGATACCCAGACCCGGAACAACGATTTGTGGAGCACACAAAGTGTTTTCGACACGGAACACCACTTTGTGTGCTCCACAAATCGTTGTTCCGTGCGGGAATCGAAACCGCGACAAGTTGCCCAATCACCGCACCAGCTTGCAGTCAACCATTTTTTTATTATCACCTGTCCATGTTTTTCGGGAGTATTTCGTTTACATCCTGAATAAACAGAGTTTTAGTAGTGAACACAATATTCTGAAAAACGGTACAAAATCTATACAAAAAACAGAAGTCGGAAACACACTATTGTTTGTTATGCGTATGTATCAATGTACGAGTCTTTGTTGTCAAATAAAAAAAGTATCACAGCTTAGCCAATGACAATATTATGATGTACTAGTTGTTCAACAATGCTCGAAATGCTAATCCTTACTAATATTATAAATCGGAAAGTGAGTTTATTTGTTTGTTCCGCTTTCACGCCTAACTACTAAACCGATTGCTTTGAATTTTTGCAGATGTATAGTTAGAAGTCCGGATTAAATAATAGGGTACTTTTTATCCCGGAAAAATTAGATATTCCCGAGGGAAAACAAAAGTATTGGTATAGATGGCGCTGTGTGTATTCGTATATGTCACATTGGCTTTTTATCCTTTTGTGACGCGAGCGAAACCGCGGGTAAAAACTAGTTTCTAATAAGATGCATTTTAAAATTGCATTCAAAGTATTGTAGTTTTTTGTATTATCCTAAATTAGTCAGGATCAATGTGGCAGGTCATTTCCAACAGACCAATGATGAAGGTACTTAGCTTCACTAACAACAGGCAGACTGACGGACTACTATTAAATTTTTTTTGTCGACGTTTCAAAAGCACCAAATTATGGTTTAATTGAAATAAACAATACACAATCTGGTACAAAATTCATAGAAAACTGTCGTTTTTAACAGTTCGAAAAACGTATTGAATAGTTAGCAAGTACCCAATTTGTGAATCTCACAGATTTGATCACAACCACGGTGACATGCGATATCCCATTGTTCAGCCTCTGTGCTAACCAAGCAGAATTCAGCATTGTGTTTGTTGCATCACATTTCAATAGTGTGTTTCTGATCAGTGCGCTTACTCTTGAAACCATTCTTTTCTTTCTTGTTTCTTTTTTTAAAAAAACGTTGCCCCCACTAGGATTTCCTCCTAAATCGGAGTGCGTTTACAAACATACAATTTCACATACCCATGACACCCAGACCCGAAAAAACAATATGTGGATCACACAAAGTGTTGTTCCGTGCGGGAATCGAACCCGCGACACGTTGCACGGCAGCCGGTTGCCCAGCCACCGCACCAACCGTGCAGTCAATTTTCAACATCAATGCAATTTCAATAATTATTCAATGTCAAAACTAGCTGATAGCTGTAGCTGTTACAATAGCATTCAGAGTATTCAATATGGATGCAATGGGCGCTAGTGTTGCAACTCAAGAGTACGAAATTTCACAATACCAACGTCGATCGATCAGAATTGGATTCAAGAGTAAGCCTCATGGTGTCTATCATCTTCTAACAAAGATCTCGTTAGAACCACTAACATACACAAAATAACATCTTTATAACATTACAAATTATTTTGTACACATGTCCTATGATTAGTTATTTCTTATTTGTCTTAACTCCAAATGAAAACTTAAAAAACTAGTAACATTAACTTTTTTTTTATTCTATCACCTATGAGGGTATCAATGAAAAGACTATAGAGTCAAAATAATGACCTTTAGTCCATAGAATTTCTATTTAAAATGCAAATAAAATTGTATTTACTTGGAATTTAAACCGCTTGAATGCCTGTACATGAGACAGAATAGAAAATACATTTTGTCTCGCATGGATCCACATTTAGATACACAACAGGTTAAGACAAGTAAGAAAATACTAGTTAAAAGACAAATGAGTTAGACTATATACACTACCTATTAATTATTATTATTATTTCAAAACAAAAACAAAATAATGCTAAAACATATGCAAAAAAAATTAAGTTACTAAATCAAAGGTTGGTCTTGTTGATACGGTGCAAAAAATAACTATGCATAAAAATATTTTAACTATAGGCGTAATAACCTATAATACTAAGCAAAAAAAAGACTAACTAGAAGCTGAATTGCCTGATTTTGAATTAAAAAGCATTGAGTATCATAGAGTAAGATTCTTGTCTATAGGAAATATTTTTTTTAATTTAGTACAAGGTAGAAGTCTAATAAGAGTACTAAAGGTAGTTGTTAAATAAATTCAGGACTATTCTAAAATAAAAGCTGACCAATTCTGCAATAGTTTAGAAACTATAAAATCATTTCATTCTTTTGGAAAAGTGTTGCATCTATAATTAATTGTAATATTTAAGCTTGTGTGCAGTTTATATTGCGAAGCACTGCATAATAGAATACCTATAACATACCATAACTTCCACATCCTCTTGATTGAAAGCCTGTCACATGAAATGTTATAGTTTTTTTATTATAAGAAAAAGTTTGGGAGTTTCTAACTTGTCTATGATTTCAATATGCCTATGTCATTATGGTTATTCCTAAAATCCTAGTATATTTACTTACGCTGATAGTCTGGCAAATATTTGTGTTTTTAAAATAACACTGTGCTTTGTTATTTTGACATTGCAATGTTTATTTTTAAAGTTATCTATGTATCGATAATTCTGCACCTTATTTCGGTATATTTTTGTACAATCACAAACATTTAAGTTAAATTATTTTCACACACTCTACATGCATTTAAACATTTGTTTAAACATTTCATAAGACATATTAGTTAGAACACTGTTAAATATCAACTTGAGATACTGAGTGCTTAGTACGACTTTATTTTACATTTCAAGTAATTGAAATGAGACCGCATTCAGCACTCTGATTGGTTAGCTTATTGGAGCCGGCCAATTAGAGAGCAGAATGCAGTCTCGTTGCGATTACTTTAAGCGCACAACAAAGTCATGCTAAGGCCTCTGTTCTCAAAACAAGTAACATGAAAACATGCTGAAATATGGACTTACTCCGATACATATATCCTGTAACATTTCAAAATGTCTTAATCACGGTAAACAGCAAAGAAAATACTCAAATATAGCAAAATAATACACATTATACATCAAAACTATGACTACTATAGATATTTTTATATATGTTTAGGATTTTTTATGTCTATTAAAGTGCCCAGTGCACTTCACTTACTTTTTTTTTACTCAATTATATACCTTAGTTCCAATGCTTTGTATGAACATAATATGTTACAAATTTTTCATAATTGGGGATTAAGAAGTTAAGAATAAGCATGAACAACAATTTTCCTTTCATTGCTTCTTAACTTTTCAGTGTTTCTAACTAAACATTTGCCTATTAGCATGTTTACAAAACTTACTTTTCTACCATTTGCACTACTATAATGTTTTATTACTGTAAAACTGACTAGCGAGCCTCTCAATGAGAATTTCAGTATCCAATAGAGCTTCAGTACACAAATTCAATCAAATAGGAAATAATGTCATCATGTAAAAGGAAACAGGACAAGATATTGGATATTATTTAGGTCTTTAGTTTTGTATTAAGAACAATAATCTACTAACTATTGCAAGGATATTATGATGACTATAAATATGACTTTATGAGCATAAGTATTCTGATATATTCATGTGTGTTTCAGAATCATGTCAGTATGATAATAGTTTCATAGACAGGATATGGATGAATTACGCTACACACCTCAGTTAGCACAGTTTCGAAACTCACCTTCACGTCAATATCTCCGATCTTATTCTCTGCCCTGATGATCGGCCGACCGACCATCGACGGGAAAATGAAGGCTGGGAAGTTGCTCCCCGCATATCCACACTTCACGAACTAAAACCGACAACATAACATGAGGAAAACGATGATTCAAGCTCTTATCACAACCACCATTTTACATCTCCATTTTTATATGAACTTACGCCTGTGCCGTTGTCGCAAACAATAACTTTTCTTCCTTTCTCATCCATTTTACTTAATTTATATTATTTCTACTTAAAATATAATTTTTACTAAAATATTTAATGAAAATAACAGACGAAGTACAACCCCCCGCACTGCCTGTAACTATCAAAGCTTTTTTTTAAGTAATGACAAATCGACGATTTTTCTGTAATAGAAAGTAAAACGTATGGAATTGTAATACGGTTTAAAATGCTGTAGCAAAATAATTTTTGTCGTTTTGACACGCCTATAAAATTTAAGCTTGCAATACTAGCCTTTTAAGCATATTTACTCCATTTGATTGTGATTGCTAATTACAACAACGTAAGAAATTAACTAATTATTTGATAGCTTTGGTTCTTTTTATATGTCGTCAACTGTCTTCTTTGGTCAATCATCTTGTTGCAGTTTTTATGCTTATAGGTCTGCAATTGATCCTTTAATTGAATGGAACCATAACACGATAATAATGATTGTATTCTTGTGATTTATGATGCAAGCTGAGTTAAGATATAACTACGGTAAGGATCGTTAAGTCGAGAACATTGAGAAAAAAGGGGTAACTATTACTACAAATAAAATATTTACCTAACAATAAATAAATGTGATCAACAAATAGATATATAAAAACCACTGCATGCAAAGGAGCACTTAAGTTTTTTAATCTACGCTACTGTCGAAATAAAATTCCTAAACGTCAAACTAACGTCAACAAAGGAGCATGGGAAGTGGTGGTCTTTCACGTGTTTTTGTTAATTTATATTGTAACGTTTAATGATAAATAAGTAAAAATGAAGCACAAAAGGTTCGAAGAGAACATCTTAGTTGATGAAGCTTACACAAATTACGGCCAACCTGACAAAAATGCCGATACAAAGAAAGGACAGGGTATTGCTAAGCATTTTGCTGAAACCCTGGAATATGAGGATAAAAAGAAGTGGTATCATCAGGTAAAGTATTAATTTACGTTATAATCATGTTATATTTTTGTTAAGTTTGTAAAATATCTGATTTTTGTATGTATTGCACAATTTTTTGCAAGTGCAACATAGAATTTTATTTACTCACATAACCATAAAATATTACAAAAATATTGCAACAAATTCGTTAAAATAAAAGAAAAAAAGAGATTTTGGCATTGTTCATTTCATACAAATGGGACATTGGTCCCATGTTAACAAAGTTGATTGTACAGAACAAATATTTATGAAAACCATTAAAGTATTCCATCGCAAACTAGCAATATTTTTGTTTTTTATTTTACTTATTTAATTTATATTTTTATAGTAACCAACCACACATGCAGCCACCTGACCAGTTTGATGTAAATTTGTTTAGGTTAAAATAATGCAAACTTTATATGAACTATAATTCAAACCCTTAATTTTCATTCCAGATGCCAGAAGAACCACCAATATCAAAGAAATTAACACAGGATCAAATTGAGGAGATGAGGAAAGAGGCCAGCAGTGCTCTGCATGGTGACACTATGGCTTATGAGACAAGTAAGTTAATCTATAATACTTCCATCTTCTGTCTGCGAATCTGCATATGCACAATCCTGAATTACGATCATAGGATTTTCAGGGAATCCTTGGATAAAAAGTGTCCTGTGCCCATCTGCTGGTTCTAAACTGCCACCCCACCAATTTTCAGCCAAATCAATTTAACCGTTCTGGAGTTATAAATAATGTAACTAACAAAATTTTCTTTTTTGTATAACACTAGCCACCCGCCCTGGCATCGCACGGGTGCAATATGCATGTATTATACATATAAACCTTCATTAAGAATCACTCTATCTATCGAAAAAAACTGTATCAAAATCCGTTGCATAGTTTTAAAGATCTAAGCATACATAGGGACAGACAGATGCGGATAGCGACTTTGATTTATACTATGTAGTGATATAGTTATAACATAAATTATTCTTATTCAAATATTAATACAAATTTTAAGGTTGGTTGGTTTAACACAGTAGTCTCTGCAACTACCGGTTTGAAATTAAATTAATGTGTTATCTTTATATTTCAGAGGCAAACAGAAGCGGCTCGTCAGATCATCAGTGGGCGCGCACACTCCTGAACAAAGGTGCCATAGGAGACAGAGTGGCAGCTGCCACTATATTGATTCAGGTAAGCCGTCAACTGCAGGCATTTCACTGTCAGATCCTATAATAACTAGCTACTTTCGCGCGGTTTCACACGCTCTGCTCAGCTCCTATTGGTCGTAGCGTGATGTTCTATAGCCTATAGCCATCCTCGATAAATGCGCTATCCAACAATTATTCAAATCAGACTTGTAGTTACGGAGATTAGTGCCTTCAAACAAACAAACAAAAACACAAACTCTTCCACTTTATATACATAATAGTATAAGGTAAGATAAGCATATTAGGCCGCATATTACATAAAAAAAGAAGAAAATATTACTAATGCAAAAAAAAAAGGATTAGTGAAGTTATGGTTTCAGCCAAAAATGATTGAAACTTTCGGCTACACTAAAATTCGAATGTTTGTAAATTATCGTGTATTCTTTTGCGAAGTTTCCGGCTTTGTATTCGCCACCGTTCTTTCGCTTGTATGTGTACTTTTATTGTCATTTAATGTTTAATTAAGACAACATTCCAGTTAGTTGTTTATTTCGTTTAATCCATCGTGTGCCAGAACACAGATCCACGCGAGACAATGTTTTTTCAAGTCATTTAAGTCAATAAGTTAATAGTTTTACATTTCTGCTTCTAGGATAACCCTATTTACAACTTGACGGCGCTACGGAACATGATCAACAATGTGAAACCAGCTAAAAAGAAGGATGGAATCATTATCATTGGTAAGTTGTTGTGGTATACATACATATTACATACATACATCATCAGCCCATATTCGTCCACTGCTGGACATAGATCTTCATTTTATCCAATTTCTTTTATTTAGTTTGTGAGTTTAATGCCCGAATACTGAAACGTTACTCAATTTTAAGTCGTGCTTAAATATCATGCTGTCTCTGTCATTTTACAAAGAATTTGTAGAGACAGAACTATGCTTAAGCGCGACTTAAAATTGAGTAACGTTTTAGTATTCGGGCATAAGTCTAGCTAGTTAGAGCCTTTTTCAAAATCAAAGCGTAAGTAGAAACTAGAATAAGTCCCTTTTCCTAAATCAAAACATTAACTAATAATTTAAGTTATTCACATGCAGGCACTGTTGTAATATTAAAATAGATAAATCAGTTCATCACTGAAGTTTTTAGTAAAGTTTAGGATCAATTAAAGCTTAGGGTTGGTACCGAGCCAACAAGATTTGTACAAATAATTAGATTGTTAGCGTGGTTTTTCATTCTTATTCATTAGCCCTCTGTCTTACATCCCCATCTCCATATTTTTATAAGTAAAGTAACTGATACAACATGTTATATGAATCTATGAATGTAATTTTTGATAGTCCACTCACACATAGACATTTTACATTGGTTATAATAATATACTATTTGATTTTTAAGTATTTATAAACTCCGCCGAAGCGAAGTTTTACAAAAAATATTATAGACTCATTTGAGTGTTCCCTCCACGGAAATCTTTAGTAAAAGGCGAAAGATTTATGCGTTTTGAAGGGAAACCAGAGTTAGCATTGTTGTGAATGCGAGCCGACCCAACCAAACGCCGGAGAATCTTAACACCGCGATTCAGAATGTGACGTCATTGCACAGTGACATCTGTTGGTACGAATTGGAACTAAACGAAGTGTCATGTAAATATTTCGTGGCATAGATAAACGGTGGTCCGGAGGTTCAAGACGCTCGCTTCTCATGCATGAAGGCGCGGGTTCGAACCCTGGCAGTACCGATGAGACATTTTTGGTATTATAATGTACTTTCGTAGATTATTTAGATATTAATGATATACGGTGAAAGAAAACATCGTGAGGAAACCTGGGTTAATAATTTCTAATGTTAAACTTTTATTATCGTAGCGTGATGCTTTAACATTTACAATTTACTTTTCCTTCTTAGATAAATGGACTATCAAAAACACAAAAATATTAAATAAAAAATCACAAACACAAAAAGAAAAATAAGATTAGTGCTCGCTCAAACCTTCTCAGTGTGAGAAGAGGCTTTGCTCAGCAGTGGGCATTTATAGGCTGTTGATGATGATGATGATGATGTTTAAACACAAAAAAATCAAATTGAACTAATAATTCCGGAGTTTAGGCGCACAAACAAACATACTCTTCAACTGACTTCCATTGTTTCTTTACAGATGCGCTATCAGAGCTACTAATATCCGAGTTACTCATCCCGGACATGAAGCTGCGTACATTCGAGCAGCATCCCCTGGGCCACGTGGACGAGATGACGTCCGGCAACAAGCAGGCGCGACGGAACATACTGAAGCTGTGGTACTTCGAGGATCAGCTCAAGGAGTTGTATGGGAGTGAGTACTGCCACCCTGTTGCTTTTTTATTTTACTTTTTTATAATGTTTTTTTTTGCTTTTATTGTTTTTTTATGTTTTTATTTATTACTTACTAGCTTTTACCCGCGGCTTCGCTCGCTTCACAAAGAATAAAAAGTAGCCTATGTGACATATACCAATACACACAGCGCCATCTATACCAATACTTTTGTTTTTCCTCGGGAATATCAATTTTTTCCGCGTTAAAAAGTACCCTATTATTTAATCCGGACTTCGAACTTTACGTCTGCAAAAATTCAAAGCAATCGGTTGAGTAGTTACGGCGTGAAGGTGGAACAAACAAACAAACAAACAAACTCACTTTCAGATTTATAATATTAGTAAAGATTTATTTTAATAAAACGTTGCCCCACACTAGGATTTTCTCCTGTGTCATGGATGTGTTTACAAACATACAAGTTCACATACACATGACATCCAGACCCGGAACAACGATCTGTGGATTAAACAAAGAGTTGTTCCGTGTGGAAATCGAACCCGCGACACGTTGCGCGGCAGTTAGTTGCCCAACCACCGCGCCAACCGTGCAGTCGATGCAGTTTATGTTCTTATTGCTTTTTTTTATTTTTATTTTTCAATGTTATTTTATGTATGTGTATTTTTGTTTGGTGGTCCATGCCTGGTGGCGAATAAATTATTTTTCTTTCTTTCTCTAGTTCGAACGTGTTTATGTTTATGTAATGAAATTATCGAATGGTTCATTACTTAAATGAAACCTGACATTGATATGTCAAAAAAAAAACGTAAACTCGTCTCTGGTGACAAAAAATTTGAATTTTTGCAGATGTAAAGTTTGAAGTCCAGATTAAATAATAGGGTACTATTTATCCCGGAAAAAATTGATATTCCCGAGGGAAAACAAAAGTATTAGTATAGATGGCCCTGTGTATGTCGATATGTCACATAGGTTACTCCTAAACTTAACTCCGATTTATCTAAGTATTGTTTTCTATTACGAAAAAATAAAGAAATACGTGTCTAATATTTTTCCATTATCTAACTTCCGGACTATTATATTTTAATTTTCATACCGTGTCTACTACCATATTAATGATTACACAATATTGATTCCAGGCTATGTGGAAGCTCTGAACAAATTCGCCCACGACTCGGTGGAGGCGAACAAAGAGAAGGCGGTCAGCGCCATGTCTTACCTGCTGATGCACCATCCGGAGAGGGAAAAGGTATGTACATAATATCATGCATTGTTAACTTCTGTTGAGGTAAGCACAGGTCTTACTTAATCTCTGCTATTTAACTATAGTAATACAGGTGATTTTCGCCGGAATACTGAAACGTTACTCAATTTTAAGTCGTACTTAAATATCGTGCCATCTCTGTCTTTTACAAAGAATTAGTGGTGATAGAACTATACTTAAGCGCGACTTAAAATTGAGTATCGTTTCAGTATTCCGGCATTTATTGTCTAATGCAGTATTACAAACGTGTCCGTGAAACGACGCTGTCGTTTTGTTTCGTCGTGTGAATGTGGTTACCGGAGGCCCAATTACCATCCACCCGCCCCCTCTCTCCAATCCCTGTATACCCTACAATCCTCAAATTCCTAATCCCCAAAAGGCCGATAACGCGCTTGTAAAGCCTCTGGTGTTTTAAGTGTCTGATTCCGATATGGGGGACGCCGATTGCCTACCATCAGGTGATCCATCTGCTTGTTTACCGGCTTATCCCATAAAAAAAAAACAAAATATTTGACTACTTTTTCGAATGTGAAAATCAAATGGTTTTCTCGTACAATTCCCGTGCTTTCTATGAAAGAAGTAGCATTCATTTAATACATTAACAATACATAGGTACTTACATGTTTGGTCCCTGAAATTAAAATGCACCCAATATATTTTAGATCAGGCAAAACATTTCTTCAGCTATGGAAACAACCTCGCCCCTTTTACATATTCCCTACATCACTGGCGATTCTGGCCAATCAACTAAATATATGTTAACTACTGACTGCCTCGTTGTCCGAGTGGTCGAAAGTGCGACTGCCGGGCAAGGGGTCTCGGGTTCGATTCCCGGGTCGGGCAAAGTATTACTGGGTTTTTAAAAAAAATCTCAGTAGTAGCACGGAGTCTGGAATTGTGCCCGGTATATGGCAATAGGCTCACCCCCTATTACATGGGACTCATAACATAAATAGTGAAAGTGGGTGTTACATTGTACAGTGGTATAATGTGCACCTCTGCCTACCCCTTCGGGGATAAAAGGCGTGATGTTATGTGTTTTTTATATGTTAACTAGACACCTTCGCTTACACATTCTCATGTTCATTTTGTTTCACAGATGCTGTTAACAAATATAATCAATAAGCTTGGAGACCCGTCGCAGTCGGTCGCGTCAAAGGTGATCTACCATCTCTGCCAGCTCCTGTTTAACCATCCTAACATGAAGGCCGTGGTGCTGGCTGATATTGAGAAGATGTTGTTCAGGTTTGTAGAAAAAATACTTGCACACATTAAACCACCAACAAAAAATACATTGCGTTCTCGGGTTCGATTTCCGGGTCGCGCAAAGAATTTGCGTACTGGATTTAAAAAAAAATCTCAGTAGTAGCACGGACGCTTGGAATAGTGCCCGGTATATAGCAAGAAGTTCACAATTAAATAGCACTCATAACATAAATAGTGAAAAGTGGGTGTGACATTGTACAGTGGCATTAAGTGCCGTAATGTACACCTCTGCCTACCCCACTGGGAATAAAAGGCGTGATCTTATGTTATGGATTCCATATTATCAATTCGTTACCTACTTCTTCTACTCATGAAATAGCTAACAAGTTAACCCGCAACACACAAATCAACAAGAAATTCCATTCTTAACACAACCAACTTTTTTACATATTTGATGGGTCGACGTTTGACCACTATCTCACCTGATGGTAAGCGATGATGCGGTCTACGATGGAGCACGTCGTCCCATAAGCAACCTATTCACTCGGGCCTTGAAGACACCCAGGTTATACCTTCGTAAACTCTAAGATAATCATAATTTATTTTCCAGAACCAACATCTCCCCCCGCGCTCAGTACTACGGCGTGTGTTTCCTGAACCAGTTCTACCTCGGCAAAGACGACTCCAAGATCGCTGAGAACCTCATCAGGATCTACTTCTCCTTCTTCAAGGCTTCTATCAAGAAGGTAAGCAGGAATACACGTAACCTTTGGTTATAGGTATAAATAGATTTAATGATTTAACCTGATAATCAAAATTGGGTACTTTCCTTAATCAAAAATAAATGATTTCGACTGTTCAATACAATCAGTCAATAGTATTTCTCACAGCATATTTTTAAGAAATAACTATGCTGTTTGACACATAAAAACGTGACGTCACAAGACGTCAAAAGTCGCTATCCGCCGTCTGTCTGTCCCTATGTATGCTTAGATCTTTACAACTACGCAACGGATTTTGATGCGGTTTTATTTAATAGATAGAGTGATTCTTAAGGAAGGTTTATATGAATACATGCATATAGCATTGCGGGTTTGCGGGTCGCTAGTAATAGTATAAGATTTAAAAAAAAACAACTTGAAGCTATTAGCATGATGCTAATAGCATCGTTATTTGTACTTTTATAGCTTCTGCCCGCGACTTTGTACGCGCAATCTCGTTTTCTCCAGTCTCCGTAAGATTTGCAGGACGTTTTTCTGTCATAAGAACCTTTTCCTGACAATAATAAACACAACAAAATAAAAAGCAGCTAAATTGGTCCAGCCGTTTTCAAGTTATGGCGTGACAACGGAAAACGGGTTTCAATTTTACACATATACTAGCGGCCTGTCCCGGCTTCGCACGGGGGGCCTTAAGATTTTTTACATAGTTTTACGTTTTATTTATATTTATTCTCAGTTTTTTTTTAGCGACCTGCCCTCCGTTGTCGATGTCGCGTCTTAAGGTAACCGATTGAACAATTCAAAAGTTATCTAGAGCAAACTTTTATAAGGATTGAACCATTCATTAAAACGATTGTTATGGGTAAACTATAAAAGGTAGACATATTATGCTCTCGCGGACTTTTTTAAAAATAATGTTAAGATAAACAATTCATCTATAGAACATTTTTGTATAACTTTAACTATATGCTCAGCGCACGCCACGGAAGGCCTCAGAAACGATACTTTTCCCCCGTTTTTAAAACATTTTTGGTTACTGCTCCACAACTATAGGACCTAGCGTGATATTATATAGCCTATGTTACTTCTGAATAATGCAGCTTTCGAATGGTGAAAAAATTATTGCAATCGGTTCAGTAGTTTTTGAGTTTATTCATTACAAACATACAAAAATACAAATCTTTCCTCTTTATAATATTAGTATAGACTAGCGGACCCAACAGACGTTGTCCTGCATATCCACTTGAATGTATAAACAATAATTCATTCAAATTAGTTCAGCTGTTTAGGATAAATAACCTAAACATCGACTGCAGCGCCATCTGCCGGGCTGATTTGTGAATCTAAACATTCCCAGATCCCCTTGAACACACACAAATAATTTCATCAAAATCGGTCCAGTCGTTTGAGAGAAGTTCAGTGACATATACACTCACAGAAGAATTAAATATATAAAGATTTATAATTTATAAAATGTGTCTATATTATACACATTTTATACATATATATTTTTTAGAACTTAGATAATTTTGTCGGTCTTCTGACCACTAAGAGTTACCATACTCTTGATCAGACCCTTTGACAGCACTCTAGTGTTCTATACCTCTACATTATTCTTTCCACATTGTTCAGGGTGAGATAGACTCCCGCCTGATGTCGGCGATCCTGACGGGCGTGAAGCGCGCGTACCCGTTCGCGGACAAGGAGCGCATGTCTGCGAGCGCGGCGCACGTGGGGCACGTGCACCGCCTCGTGCACCTCGCCGGCATCAACGTCGCCATACATGCGCTCGCGCTGCTCTTCCATATATCGGACGCGTCCAACGGCACTGCTGATCGGTAAGTGTGATTAAAAATGGGTTTTATGGTTTCTTGAAATGATTTTTAATCCTAAACTAGCTTCTGCCCGCGACTTCGTACGCGTAATCCCATTTTTTCCAGTCCCCGTTCGTGATTTTCGGAAAAAAGTAAAAAAAAAGTATTGGTTAAAAATTATCCTATGTCGGTCTCCTGGCTCTAAGCTACCTCCCTACCAATTTTCAGCCAAATCTATTCTGCCGTTCTTGAGTTATAAGTGGTGTAACTAACACGACTTTCTTTTATATATATAGATTATTATAATAACTGTGGTGTGATGGGACTAAAGAGTTATAAATTCTTTGTTATCTTACTAATAATATGAATGAGAAAGTTTAATATGTTTGTGTGTATGCTTGTTACACAATCACGTCAAAGCGGCTGAAGGAATCGGGATGAAGTTTGAAACAGGGATAGATTATGGTGTGGAATAACACATAGGATACTTTGACGACCCGCGACACGCGACACGGCGACTAGCGGCGTAGCAGCGCGACAGTCGCCGCGTCGCGGGTCGCGAAATTCTACTCATAAATATGAGCCTCTAGCATGGCTCGAAACTAGTCGAGTTCCTCGTCAAATTATTACGTGAGTAAGCCGAAAACATAGGATACTTTTTATTTCACAGGAACTCAAGGTCTGTCTATAAAATGTTGAATAAGTTATTAAAAACAAAAATCAAGGAATGATTTTTTTAAGGCATAAGCCGGTAAACGAGCAGACGGATCACCTGATGGTAAGCAATCGTCGTCGCCCATGGACACCTGGAACACCAGAGGCGTTACAAGTGCGTTACTTTACGTTGGGGATTAGGAGTTTGAGGATTGATCGTTGGGGATTCAGGAATTGGAGAGATTGGGGAAGGGGAGGGTAATTTGGCCTCCGGTAACCTCACTCACACGACGAAACACAACGCAAGCGTTGTATCACGTCGGTTTTCTGTGAGGCCGTGGTATCACTCCGGTCGAGCTGGCCCATTCGTGCCGAAGCATGGCTCTCCCACACTTAATGATGATGTAATACGAAACTGTGTTTATTTGGATTTTATTTATAGAATAAGGGCGCAAACGATTTAGTTTTTTTGTCATTGGTTAGTGAAAATAAACTTTACTATTGAGTTATCAGTCTGCTTGGTTGTCCATCAATCCCAAAAAAAAGGCCAAAGACGTACTTTTTAATTTCAAAACTCAAGTGTTCATAAAACTATTTTCCCATTCCAGCTACTACACCGCCCTCTACCGCAAGCTGACAAACGCAGAAATATTCAACACAACACATTCGGCGCTTCTCTTCTCGCTCATATACAAGTCATTAAAGCAGGACAAGAATATACCTCGAGTGACGTCATTTATCAAGCGATTGCTACAGTTATGTTGTTACATGACTCCTGCGCAGGGGTGTGGGATGCTGTTCCTCATTTCGCAGGTCTTGAAGGATGGAGAGAAGAAGGAGGCTGTTAAATTGGTCTGGACTAAGAGGGAGATTAAGGAGGTACTTTGTTGCACTTGGTTTTTCTACTCTGGTAGACTGCCTCGTTGCCCGAGTGGTCGCAAGTGTGACTGCCGGGCAAGGGGTCTCGGGTTCGATTCCCAGGCCGGACAAAGTATTACTGTTTTTTTTTTAATCTCAGTAGTACCACGGAGTCTATAATTGTGCCCGGTATATGGCGATAGACTCACCCCCTATTACATGGGACTCATAACATAAATAGTGAAAAGTGGATGTTACATTGTACAGTGGCATAATGTGCACGTGATGTCATGTATGCGTTGTGTTTTTCTAGTAAGGATTTATAACTAATAGTCTTAATTATTTAAGGTTTTTAGGGTTCTGTACTCAAAGGGTAAAATTGGGATCAGATTACTAACACTCTGCTGTCTGTTTGTCTAAAACCTGGATGTATTGGAAGTCCAATCCCTCCCCCTTCCACCAAAAAACCCAAAACGAAATTATCACTATGCTAGTGCTGCGGATGCTGATTACTGATGATTGTTGGGCAATTTTTTTCACAATTTTTTTTTAGTGTAAATAGCTGACTGCTGAACTTTTTACAGATTATTACACAGACAAAAAAGTGTTGTATTAAAAAAGTATTACAAAAAAGAAATACTACAATAAATCTATTGTTAACCCTACTTAGTTTGTCGCTTAGAACCTAACGGGTAACCGGGGCTCCGGCTCGACGTGCAGGAGTAGGAACGGGGTGGTTTTTAGTCAGTAAGAGTCTGACACTCCCTCCCGCCTCACCCAGGCGGGAGCAGTCATTCGATGATCTTCTACTTTAAAGAAAAGCTTACTTAATTTAATTTCTATTTAATCCAACAGGAAATAAAAGAAGAAGTACCAGAAATAGAAGATATTTTGGATGACAGTGCAGAATATACGGTGACAGAAGTAAACACGACGCTCAATGACACGGCCGATGATGAGGTCAAAGTAGAACAGAAGAAAGTTGATCTGCTAAGGGGTGACAAGAAAGATCTGTTGGGTAACATATCATATTCTTTTTTAACTCGTTGAGTACCGTCATTATAGACACATTTAAAGAACAATAGGTTGCGGTCACCGGTGACCGCGCGGTGTTTGACAGTTTAAATGGTTTTATTTAGTTTAATCAATTTGTTTGCTTAGGTTAAATTTGGTAATTGGAATTTCTCATACTTCCTGATAAATCAATCTATTTTTGGTACGGTAAAATGGTGTGAATAGGGATCGAGAAGTGAATAGGGACAGAAGAGGGGTGGATCGATACTGTGAAGAATTTCCCAATATTATTACACAATGTACAATCAAAGGTCAAAAGTCCACTGTCACCGTGAGTGATGTTCACACGGAAATGCATAAGTAATTTTAATATTAATGTGCATAAACACACGCACGCGTACGCACACTGATACAAATATGCGTGTGTGTGGGTATAAGCGCTGCAGCGCAACTGATAGTAGTCTTACGGTGGCAGTGGACTTTTGACCTTTGACCGTACATACATACATAGAATATGGAAAGGAAGAATAAATATATTATGTACAACTACTATTTAGATACTAAAACTATTTCAAAACGCCTGATCGACGCATCTCGAGACCAGAGGGCTGGTCTGTTTCTCGGTCAGAGGTTAGCATTGCCATCATCATCAACAGCCTGTAAAAGCCCACTGCTGAGCAAAGCCTCTTCTCACACGAAGAAAGTTTGAGCATTAATCACCACGCTTGCTCAATGCGGGTTGGCGATTACAGACTTATAATTATTAGAAATTATAAGCCCAGGTTTCCTCACGATGTTTTCCTTCACCGTTTGTCAGTGGTGTCTAGATAATCTTAGAAAGTATATATAACTTGGAAAAAGTCACATTGGTACTTGCCGTTGGTAGGTTTCGATTGCCATACAACGTGGCAATGCTGCCAGCCTTCTGGGTACTTTCCCTATTGACGCGGACGAATTTTTTGATGCTCTCTGTAAATTGAAAATTTAATCTAATATTCTCTTGCCTAATCTTCTAGATGATGACGAAGAAGAATCATACGTGGATCTCAAAATTGATGACCAAGGTAACATAAGGCCTAAGAAACGCAAGCATGGGTCTGTCATACCCGGCTGGTATCACGCCAAGGTGAAGTCAGAGGTCCCGGAGGTGAAGAAGGATGAGGAACTGGAGAAGGATGTCGCTAATATACAGCTGAAGAAGACTGTTAATATGGATAAGGTGAGGTTTTTGAATGATGTACACCATTGCCGGATATGGGGATTGAATTTGGAACCCCTTGATAGAATTGGCGTGCGAGTCGGATTTGCGATTGGTCGACCAATGTGGCTGTTTATTTTTACAATAATCGTTTTGATATCACATATTTCGTTTTACATCAAAATGATATTTAGCGCATTTGTATGTATGCATGATATTTTATTTATCATGAACTGCTTTGTCTCAAAAGGATAGGCAAAAACTTCAAAATACGAATTAGAAAATAAAATTATTAGATACAAATAAAAAAACGAATTACTATTAAATAACGACAATGAATGGTTAATTACAAAAGTAATGATAAATATGAAATTACTTAACGAATTAACGTAATTTTCAAATTCATAGAATAATTAGCGTATAATTAAGGATAATCCGGAATGTGAAAAAACGGAATTATGAAATAGGTCAGCATGTTATTTTTAAAAGAATACTGGTTTTTGCCCGTGACGCACACGTACAAAAAGCCTTTTTTACAGTTATACCAAGTATATACTATAGTTACCAAGGAACATGAGAATACGTTAAGTTCGCCTCTTATTAAATGGGACCCATAACACATCTGTCTAGTGAGAAGTGGGTGGTACATTGTATTTATGTGCGTTTTCGTTTTGGGGCTTAACACGTTTTTGTAGTAGTTATTGTTAATTGATATCTTTTTGGGTCAATAGACGTGGATTTGTACATTTTTTAACTGGGAAAACCTCCCAAAACCGCTGCAACTCCTATAAGCCAGGATCTACAGTAGATACAACCATAAAAACACCGGAACATTGAAGTCCGGCGCGTCCCAGGGACATAATTAACTGTCTTGGTTCCCGCAACAAAGTGAATCAGAAGATATTATAAGAGGAGAGGAAAAAGTGGATTTGTACCTACATGTTTTGTTTGTTTGTACAGGATATTACGGACTACAACCCGTTGGCTCGTAATCCGTCCTTCGCGGGTGCTCAATGCTCCGCCTACGTGGAACTCGTGGCCCTGGCCAGGCACTTCCACCCCACTGTCAAACTGTTCGCTGAGAAATTACTGCGAGGTAAACTATCTGTTGATGATATGACATATAAATTACTTAATTCTTAAACTCATTGTCCCATAATTCCTTGTTCTGTCCTGTCCCATCCCTATAATTGCCGGATTTATTTGCCTCGTACGTAATATAATTAATGAATTAATTTATATTATATTATGTAATATAATTAATGAATTAATTGATATTATGTTCGTTTAAATCAATACAGTGTTTTATTTTTGATGGAGAAAATCATACAATGACTTCTCCCATCTTGGGGAGTGTCAGACTCTTACTTTCTAAAGACCATCCCGTTCCTATTTCTGCACTTCGAGCCGGAGCCCCGGTTACCCGTTAGGTTCTCCGCGACTCCGTATCGGCACGTGTGTGTTATATTGGCATTAAGTGCCGTAATGTACACCTTTGCCTAAGCCTGCGGGGAAAAAAGGCGTGTTGTTATGTTATATTACTAATAGAACTCCAATCTTAATGTTCCAGAACAAATAATCCAATACAGCGGCGACCCACTCAAAGATTTCGCTGGTATTAGGTTCTTGGACCGTTTTGTGTTCAAAAACCCTAAGAAACGAGCTGAGACGCAACTGGACGATGGTGTCAAGAAAGTAAAGGGGTCTCACCCTAAGTTCGCTATCAGGAAGAATTATACTGCTAAAGGTGAGGTTTTTGATATTATTTTTTGATAACAAGTTAACTTAGGTTTAGATAAATAAGTGTGGGATAGCTATGCTTCGGCACGAATAGGCCGGCTCGACCGGAGTGATACCACCAACGAGCAGAAACACAGTGAAACAACCATAGCCGCTGTGTTTCGTCGTGTGAGTGAGGTTACCGGAGGCCCAATTACCACCCCCATGCCTCCAATCCTTGAATCCTCAAATTCCTCATCCCCAAAGGGTTGATGACGCATTTGTAACGCCTTTGGTGTTTCGGTTGCTATGGGCGACGCCGATTGCTTACCATCAGGTGATCCGTCTGCTCGTTTACCGGCTTAGCGTATAAAAAAAGATATTAAGTAAATTACAAGCGAAACTGTGGTTAAGGTGTAATACATTAAATATAGACTATTATAAAGCACTAGACTCGTTCTAAACTCCATACTATGTATTAGTGGAGAATTTGAGAATTGAAAAAACTAGTTATAATCTTATACTTTATTATATAAAGCTGAAAAGTTTGTGTGTCTGTTTGTTTGTTTGTTTGAACGCGCTAATCTCAAGAACTATTAGTCCGATTTGAAAAAATATTTTTGTGTTGGATAGTCCATTTATAGAGGAAGGCTATAAGCTATAAAACATCACACTACGACCAATAGGAGCCGAGCAGAGCGTGTGAAATTGCGCGGAAGTAGCTAATAGTAGGAAATAATATTTATCCCACGTGGTGTTTTAACCTTTATTCCGAGACTTACTTGACTAACATCGTAATATTGAAAGGCTAATCAATTTTAAGTTCTACTTAAATATCGTGCCTTCTCTATAATTTTACATAGAAATTGTAGAGACAGAACTATAGTTAAGCACGATTTAAAATTGAGAAGCGTTTCAGTATTTGGCCATAATATAATAATAGCCTATTTCAAATGCAAACAAGAATACGCTCGGAAATCATAACGCATCCTTTTACAGTTGTATAAAAATACTATAGGTCTAAAGTAATCGGTTAATTGGTTTCAGGTCTAAAGAGTATACCAGTGAACTCAGCGTCGTACCTCAACGAAGATGCCAGTAAAGTACCCGTGGATGAGAGATTCTTATATGAGTAAGTTCAATACATATCTTTTCATATACCTATTGGTATAGGTAGGTATTATTAATAGGACAAGCCCACCACAACCTCCCAAAACCGCTGCAACTCCTGTAAGCCAGGATCTACAGTAGATACAACCATGAAAACACCGGAACACTGAAGTCCGGCGCGTCCCAGGGACATGAATAACTGTCTTGGTTCCCGCAACGAAGTGAATAAGAAGATATTATAGGAGGAGAGGAGGATAGGTATTGGTGAAAATGTTCTGGTTAGTGTAGTGATTAGGGATTCAGCTACCACTCTTTTTGACTTGGGTGTCGTAATGATGTCGTGGTGGCCCGGAAGTTTAAGACGCCCGCTTCTCATGCATGAGGGCGCGGTTTCGAAACATAACAACGGTAAGCACAAATGTGACTTTTTCCGAGTTATATGTACTTTCTAAGATTATTTAGACACCACTGACAAACGGTGAAGGAAAACATCGTGAGGAAACCTGGACTTATAATTTCTAATTATAAGTTTGAAATCACCAACCCGCATTGAGCAAGCGTGGTGATTAATGCTCTAACCTTCTCCGTGTGAGATGAGGCTTTGCCCAGCAGTGGCATTATAGGCTGTTGATGTGTATGTGTGCAGTGTATATACTGTCATAATGAACTTGCAAATTTCGGACATTTCTTACTTCTTTACCTGTAGATATACGCGAGAGACAATGAGTTTTCTATTATGTCTCATATAGTAGTAGATAAGAGGTTAAGGGTTCATACATTTCTCACTTTTTTTAAGCTCATTCGTGTTATTTTTTGAACAAGTAATCGCGTGGTATTTACATAGGCACCTAACATTTACATTTCAATACTTTATTTGAGACAGTGATGAAAACTTCTAGCTTTACAGCAAAACTTCTTATCATTTTCTTCTTAACTTTGCTCTTGGCTAAGTATATTGGTCGGGCTTTGGTAATCAGTCAGTCAGTTACCAGGCAATCAATTATTGATTTGAGGCTTATTATCAGTAAATACTGCCTCGTTGGATGAGTGGTCGCAAATGCGATTGTGGGTAAAGTACTACGGGATTTAAAAAAATCTTATCGGTAGCACGGAGTCTGGAATTGTGCCCGGTACATGGCAATAGGCTCACCCCCTATTACATGGGACTCATAACATAAATAGTGAAAAGTGTGTGGTACTTTCGGGTACCCTTCGGGGATAAAAGGCGTGTTATTATGTTATCAGTAAATTTAACAAATATTGTTCTCTCCTCAGTTTCCTACAGAAGCGTCGCAATGCGGCAGATGACTCGGATGACGATGACAGTGATGCTGACTCCGTGAACAGCGAGGACTTCGAGCAGTATCTCGACAGCGTCACCGGAGCTAAGGCACTAGGTAATTATTATCTCACTGATATTATAAATGTGTAATAGTCGTGGTGGCCCGGAGGTTTAAGACGCCCGCTTCTCATGCATGAGCGGGCTGGTTCGAAACCTACCAGCGGCAAGTACCAATGTGACTTTTTCCGAGTTATATGTACTTTCTAAGATTATTTAGACACCACTGACAAACGGTGAAGGAAAACATCGTGAGGAAACCTGGACTTATAATTTGTAATTATAAGTTTGAAATTGCCAACCCGCATTGAGCAAGCGTGGTGATTAATGCTCAAATTTTCTCCGTGTGAGAAGAGGCTTTGCTCAGCAGTGGGCATTTATAGGCTGTTGATGAGGATGATGATGATTATAAATGTGATAGTGTGTGTGCATGTTTGTTACTTAATCACATCAAAACAGCTGAAGGGATCAGAATGAAATTTGACACAGGGATAGATTATGGTCTGGAGTCACACATAGGCTACTTTTATCCCACGGCAACGCGGGCGATGTCGCTGTCACCTGACGCGTAATAAATGCTATTTTGTAGCATATTTGCAAAAAAAAATCACGTTTAATACATAACATAACATAACATCACGCCTTTTATCCCCGAAGGGGTAGGCAGAGGTGCACATTATGCCACTGTACAATGTAACACCCACTTTTCACTATTTATGTTATGAGTCCCATGTAATAGGGGGTGAGCCTATTGCCATATACCGGACACAATACCAGACTCCGTGCTACTACTGAGAATTATTTAAAAACCCAGTAATACTTTGCCCGACCCGGGAATCGAACCCGAGACCCCTTGCCCGGCAGTCGCACTTGCTACCACTCGGCCAACGAGGCAACGTTTAATACCTAAAGTTATTTATTACCTTTTGTAGCGGAATCAGACGACGAACTAGACTACCTAGCAGACATGGCGGCTACGAAACAGAAGCGTGGCAATAAGAAGCAGGACGACGATGATGACCACCAGCTCGGCAGTGATGATGATGATGATGATGATGAAGAGGGTGGTGATGAAGGAGCTGTTGGTGGTGATGAGGACGACGAGGATGGAGGTATGTTGGTTTTGTTATTAAGATTTTTACTGGTAACTGCCATTTTAAATCTGAGGCCTTACTAGTTTGTTTTATGTATAGATATATATAAATGAAACCCGTTTCCCGTTGTCATGCCATAACTTGAGAACGGGTAGACCGATTTGGCTGATCTTTTTTCTTATTGTGTTTGTTATTGTCAGGAGAAGGTTTTTACGACAGAAAATATCCTAAAAATCCTACGGGGACGGGAAAAAACGGGACTGCGCGTACGAAGTCGCGGACAGAAGCTAGTGTTTAAAATAATATAAACGAGACCCCGTTCAGCGCTCTGATTGGCCAGCTCCAATGATCGAACCAATCACAGCGTCAAACGCGGTTTTAGTTTTGATTACTTTATACGTAAAACAATCTCGTACTGGCGCCGGTAATTTTTGGCGACCGTGGCATTAAGTGTTAAAGTTTTTTTATGTGCTTAAAGGGAAAATGAGAAGTGGGATTATCTGATGGTAAGCAATCAGCGTCTCCTATGGTTACTTGTAGCACTAAAGGACTTTAGGGGATAGAAGATTTGGCCTCCAGTTACCTCCTAGGTCATGTGCGACATTAAATAATTAACGGTTTTTCTTTCTATCTTTCATAATAAGAGTTTGAAATTGATTATTCATTAAACGATTTCACAAAAGGAGGTTCTCATTTCGCCTGTTTGTTTCCACAGATAGCGACGGAGAATTGAATATCTCAGGAGATGAGGACGAACCAGCGCTCTCTGGAGAGGAAGATGGTAAGAAAATATGCTATAGAAGTATAGAATAACATACATTACATTACACTTTTTTATGCGATAAGCCGATAAACGAGCAAACGGGTGAGCTGACGGTAAGCAATCGGCGTCGCCCATGGATACCAGAGGCGTTACAAGTGCGTTACTGGCCTTTTTGGGATTATAAATTTGAGGATTTTTAGGGATTTCGGGATTAGGAAGATTGGGGAGGCGGGGGCTAGTAATGGGCTTCCGGTAACCTCATTCACACGACGAAACACAATGCAAGCGTTGTTTCACGTCGGTTTTCTGCTCGGCCGTGGTATAACTCCGGTCGAGCCGGCCCATTCGTGCCGAGCCATGGCTCTCCCACACTTAGTCAAAACTCTATCTGGAGTACAATTTTAAACAATATTTAATTTGCAATAGCACTTTTCAACAGTCAGTTCTAAAAACTATAGTTAGCCCCCTCGTATATAGAGCAGGAGGATTTTAGCCTATTATTCCACACAGGACACATTTCCAATTAGGATACTCTTACTAGAATTTGTATTATTAATTTTTCCAACCAACACAAAAATATATTTATATTTCTTGCCCACAGAACTTCTGCTTGAAGACAGCGACGATGATGATGACAAAATCGATGTTCCTGGCACTAAATCAAAGAAAGGAAAAGGCAAATTTAAACTAAAAGGTGCGTAATTATTTTTATCTTAACAGATCAAACTGCAGTGTACTTTACACATTAAATATTTATTAAATTAAACACGAATCTCCGGATTGCGTTTGAATTAATTCTTGCGCTTTTCACATCATTCATTTGATATCAATCTAGTTTAAAAAGTTAAATTCTATAATACTAATGTAAACAATACAATCCAACAGGTGGCGACGACCTTGGCTCTCTATTCGCGTCAGCTGAAGAATTCTCAACATTACTAGAAGAAACAGCAGCTAACAAAAAGCAGGGGTCAAGCCAAGCAGTAGCCAACACAGATAACGCAAGCACCAAACAATTAGCCTGGGAAGATAACAGGGCCCAGTGGATCAAAGGATACAACAGAAAAATATTAGGAAACAAATCAAGTAATAAAAAATTCAAAAACAAAAAAGGCAACTTCAGTAAATCTGACAGTAAGAACAAACCTAACAAAAAAGGTTTTAACAAAATGGCGGATAAAGGCGGGAAGAGAAAAGGCGCGAAAGTCAATGGTCCCGGCGGTAAAAAGAAGAAAATGAAATGATCAATTTGCTTGTTAAAATAAATTGTTGTCGATAATTTCTTGTTTTATTTATTCCAGTAAATATAAATGCTGAAATTATGATCAACATTACCAATATTTTACTATTCCAACAACAAGTATCTCTAAATAACTTTTTATTATTGCAACTTACATGAATGAAGTTCACAGTATATTTTAAAACTAGCCACTTCCGCGCGGTTTCACACGCTCTGCTCGGCTCCTATTGGTCGTAGCGTGATGTTTTTTAGCCTACAGCCATCCTCCATAAATACGCTATCCAACACAAAAATAATTATTCAAATCATACTTGTAGTTACGGAGATTAGCGCGTTCAAAATACAACCAAAAAAACAAACTCTTCCGCTTTATATAACAGTATATATAAGATCATGTGCATTACTTTTAAAAAAATAAATAGGTCAGAGAATGATTTTAAAATGATGATTATTCTGTAAATAAAATCATTTGAATAAATAATTACGGAATTAAGTCATGATGTCGCTTAAAAAGAAAGACAAAGATGCAATTTTAATAAATTATTTTTATGATGACAAGTGTCCAAGTACATAAGTCAATTATTTATTTTAGTGATGTGAACCGTGGTCATCAAAAATCGATATTTTCGATAATAATTAATTACACTGAAAAAAAAAGTGTACAAATCAAGAAATATCTGAATTTCATATTGTAATTTTATTCCATTAAGATTATAGTTCCTAAAAAAATACCACAATTCTTTTTTCTATTTTATTCAAAAATATAAATTGAAATAACACCATTTATTTAAAAATCCCACGTGATGAAAAAATATTCCGTGCCAGACAAAAACTATTTTCATAATACATAATAGATGAATGGGTAGGTACCCGGCGGTACCTTGAATTTACATTATTAGAGGTCACTGGGTCACTTCATCAGTCAGACAGCTGACAGATATCAAAACAGTATAATAAAACTACTGTTAGAGACTAAAGCGCAAAAAATTAAAAGGCAAATGCATCAATATAACTGAAAAGGTCGCTTCTAATATTTAATTACGACTTTATATCTAGCAGGCAGAACAAACAGGTTTTTTCGTCTTGATAAAAAAAAACCATAAAATACTTATTTCCAAGTTTGACAGCTAGAATGTTTACAATGCGCGCCGCGCATTCAACAGATAATATAAACCTGTTGGTGTACGATTAATTTTCAATTTCTTATTAGAATAACCGAACAATAATAAGAATTACTCCAATTTAATTTAATAAATAACCAATTGAAGGTAAAAGGATAAAGTTTCATACAATTTATGCTAAACATTGATGTCTGCGCAATGTACAGGCGAGTTCGCACACGGAACTCGTTGTTTGTTGACATTACTACATCATGTAGTTGTGTTGTGGAACGCGCCATCGCGCCGTATCTTGCATTTATAGCGCGAAGTAAACAAATTCCTTCCTGAACTAATAGATGACATAAACTGTGAACGATATATTGTGGACTAATGGACATTCCTGAACATTATTTACGGCATTCACTGTGATTGAGAGAAACAAAAAGGCGGGCGAAATCAGTGTGCGAGTGGCGATTAGCGATCTATTTATAGACAGACCTATGGCGCGATAAAACTGTATTACATGCTACAAATGTGTATCAGTGTCATGTTAACATTCCAATAATAGTTTACTTCCTAATTATACGTTTTTCATTTCTTACTGGACATAATATCTTCGATACTGTTGAGGAAAACGTAGCCGCGAAACTAGTTTGACAGCTCATGAATGTACACATTGAAAGGGAACGTAATGCGCATGTGTGCGTGTAAGTGATGTGAAATTCTTATGTATGCGCTTATCGATTGGCAAGATTATTTCAAGGCCACCGGTGAGGACTAATGTATGATTTATTATTTTAACTTGATATGAATATAACGAAAGCTGGACTTTCAAACAATATGGAGTCGCCATTGTTAGATAGTAAAAATGTCGAGGTCACAATGAACAGATCCGTAAGTTCAAGTTCAAATCAATTAATCCCAGACAACTTGGAGCTTCCTGATGATACATTCCGTATGAGTTTAGATAATTTTTCCATGATTGGAGAAAATGTGACTATAGGTAGAGAGATGTCGGTAGACGGCAGTGTGGGTACTAATGCTGAGACGCCTACGGTGGAACTGCCGACTCCGCTACTGACTCCTGATGCGCAAACTCCTGATATCGCGTCACCAGACATTGTCCAAAACCCGGACATTCAGTCACCTGATGTCATTCAAACTCCTGAGATCGAATCACCCAATGTCATTCAAACTCCTGACATCGAGTCCTCTGATATCATACAAACTCCTGAGATTGAGTCACCTGATATCGTCCAAACTCCGGACATCGCGTCACCTGATATCGTGGAAACTCCTGGCATTGAGTCACCCGATATTGAGAGCCCGGCGCCAGAGAACTCGCCTCCTATAATTGAAACTCCTAAAATAGGCGAGGCTAAAGCTGAAATTCGCAGACCACAAACGCTGCTGCAGCTATCACTGACGAAGAAAAGTGACAATGATATCTTCGTCAAACCATCCCCTGTAATAGATCTTATGTCACCAGCAAGAATGCTGCAGTTTGAAGTCGAGGCCTCTAGCGCCACTCCAACCATGAAGCGAGCAGCCGTGGACTTTGATTTCTTTAGCAAAAACAATTTTGAGGAGTACTTTGCGGAAACGGAGGCCAAACATGATAATGAGGCTGGCGATCCGGAAGATGGCAGCACTTTTAAAGAGACGCCGGTTATCGTGAAGGCGGATACTGTCCGACATGAGATCGGTTATGGTAAGTATCACTCGTGGTATTATTTTTTAAGCTTTGTGTTTGTTTCTTTACGGTACCTTAGGTTCTATAGCAGTGGGAGCCGGCGGATTCATTTTCAAAATATTAACACGTGTACCTACAGCAGACCTAACCGAGGACCAATTTTAGCAAAGGATTTGCCTCCAATCTTTAGTGTTTCTCTTTAATATTCTATAGTTCGTTCAGTAGATACTAATCATAATCAAATCAATTTATTTGTGACTAAGAACTAATAAGACTGAATACTTAATAACGCTTTTCCGTTATACAAAACAAAATCCAAATATACCATGTAGGAAACCAGTATTGAAATTATTACCACGAAGTTAATTACCTATTCTCCGACTTTAAAATCATAGAAATATTAATTATTATCGATTTATTAATTAAGTATTGCAAGATTTGTAAGTAAACAAAGCGTTATAGTAAGTAGTTATGAATTATTAATGAATACGAGTTCAAACACACAACAGATTGAGATAAATAATATGTTCAATCTGTAGGTTTTACTTAATCTAACTATTAATTACGCACATCTTCAAAATACTACTTTCTCAAGCACTAATTTAATACCTATAGGAATTACTAGCTGTTAGCCCATCTATATTTAGCATATTTTTTGCCTAGTCTCCATAACTTTATGCACGTATGCAACATTTCAGCCTTAGGACGACAAGTTGAGTATGTAAAGCGTAAATAAACATACAAACATAATTACTTTCCTATTTATTTTATAGATAAATATGATTCTATTTCAAAATTAGGTTGCAAATCTCAAGCCTAAAAGTGAAAGAGAGATAAGGAGACTATCTTGTGCGCACGAGTTCGCACACCCGTAAAACACCACCCTTGTTTCATTGTTTCCGCGTCCAGGGGGCTTACTCTTGAATCCAATTCCGATCGATCGACATTGGTATTGTGAAATTTTGTACCCTTGATTTACAACACAAGCGCCCATTGCATCGGTGTTGCGTGGATATTGAATGAACTAAATGGTATTGAGTTTGGCTTTATAATCCGTACTCTGAATGCTATTTGAACAGCTACGATAGGGGTTGTATAGTTCTGACATTGAATAATTATTGAGATTTTATTGGATTAAAATTGCATTGACATTGAGATTGGTTTCAAGAGTAAGCACCCAGGTAGGAAGGAATTTTGGGAATTATCACTCAGTATACTTTTACTCTCCATAAGGATTGCACGCTCCAGTAGCTTGCTCTGTACCTTGTCCGGAATTTAAAAAGATATATTTTTAAATTAGTGTTTAGTTAATCATCCATCCAGGATCATTTGCTAATAACTATCTACCAATATCTATAATTTAACGAACCATTTAGTTAAATTGTGATCATTATTATAAATAGTGATTAAGTAGATAGGTCATTAACGAATTTAACTTAGGGAATAGTAAATAAAAACTATTCATAAGTTCGTCAACCGTTGTGTGATCAACATTGACCGCGGCGCGGGAGTGATAAATTTCATTTTTCGAATTTAAGTGTTATACGATTCATTCCGATTACTGACTAAAATGGAGATAGAGAACGAGAAGTCTGAGGAAGGTAAGAAATTTTCATATTATTTAATTTTATAAGAGAAAGAGTGTGTGAGAATGAGTAAAAGAGTTTGATGAATGCCGAACGTTGGAAGATGTTAACATTCTTTTTTTAACTACGTTCCACTATATTTCTTAAATAACTATGAATATTCGTTTAATTAAAGTCAATAGTTTAATTAGATTAAGCTATAAAACCTTTTTTTGTCTATTACAGTGTCCAATTCCTAAGAGCGTAAAACTTAAGTGCAGCAAAAGGCATCTTTAGCATGTGGTGTTTTTCGTGTGCAATGAAGGGTTAATTTAAACGATATATTTACAGTATGTTATTTAAATTACTAAACCTAGTTTTTTTACAATTAGAATATAGATTATAATAGTTAAAAAGGATATTTAAGTCCGTAGAGCCTAGCTTTTCAACATACTTTCATACAACATATTAGCTTTTCAAAATAGCCCGTCTTTTTCATAACTATAACTTTTTTACTACGTCTATTTTAACGAGCATTTTATAAGTGTTTTCTACACAAAATTGTATAGTCTAAAACCTACATTTCTAAAGTAATATCAGCCTAAGAAGGTACCTAATAAGACAACTCTAAAACACGTAAGAATCT